CTCTTGCACTGGGATTTGTTATTTATCACAAAACCTGCAGAAAGCTAATGCTACCCCACCGAAAGTAATGAGTTTTCTATCAGCATAACTATCTGATCTGGCTCAGGGTCAGACAAGCACTGACACCACCGCGATGGAAGAGCTGAGAGAGCTAAGGGGAATGGCGGCAGCCTCAACCACGGACATGGCCATGCCAGGGTCTTTAAAATGCTGCCTAGCAGCTACTGTGCTTCATGAGAAGGTGGTTAAAATCAGATATTCACAATGTTAAATAAAGGAAAAATGTTTTAACTACGTGATGGGTTTTCTCGTGCGAAGGCATTTTAAGCTCGCTTTTACAATTTGGAAATTATATATATAAAATTTTAAGACTGAAGCTTCTCTCCCGTTCTTTGAAAACTCATTTATCTATGATGAGAATAACAACGTATTTCTGTTGCTGTCTACTTGTTTTGCTAACCAGTGAACATACTTCCAAAGGAAATGGTAAAACAGAAATGTTTTCATTTCATACTGGGGAAAAAAAACCCTCAAATACACTACATGTCATTTGCTTAAATCTTGTTTGGACAGCTTGCACGGCTCACAATCTTACTGTTAGCACTCCCTCCTCTGAACTAGAGCAAGAGCAGTAAGATAAATATAATACTGCAATATAAGGTTCGTTACCGAAGAAGATCACTCTGCTGTGACATGCCTCACGCTTCAGCTCTAACACAATGATACGGTTATCTAAGATTTGAGGAGACTGAACAGCCTGTAATATATTAACACACTTTTCATTTTGGAGATAGTGTCAGGAGCTAAAAAACAACTCCAATTCACCGTGCCTCTTTGGTTATTTCCCCTCCAGGATCAGGTGTTTTCTTCCCTCTGATCCCCACACCAGATCTGTGGGAACAGCAACATCCTTGACCTGCACAGGCAGAGTGACGTGTACAGGAACGAAGCACTGGGATTAAGATCTAGTAAGAAAAGCCCATAAGGGCACTTTTTATGCAGCTTCAAATATTAACTTTCTAAAAGACAACTTGCAGCAACTCCTATTTTTAAGTTTCTCAAAGGAGCTTTGAGACCATTTTAAGAAGCCCACTGCCTGTAAGATGTTTGACGTTCAGAAAGGAGAACAGTCTCCAGCTGCAGAAGCACTTTTTCTTTCCTCCAAGCCTACATTTAAAGTGTCACTGGCACAGCAAGGACAGAGAGAGACACAGAGCTCAGGGTTTCATTTAGGCTGGTTTTTTTTCACTGACCCAGCTACAAGCCTGGTGCGTGGCTACAGCTTCAGCTTTCCCTAAAACCAGTCATACTTTTGTTTGTGTGGCCCACTGCTGAATTGGCAAAAGCTACCTTTGCAAAACCACTTTTGCCACAACACCTTTTTGTGTTTGCATTAAAGAAGCAAAAATGTAGATAAAACTTTTGCCAAGGATATCTTGGTCTATTGGAACAGACATTATGAAGTGATAAAATAAACTACCATTTCCTCAGTGTTTTAGCTCTCCAGTGGAAGAGCCGAATTTGCTCCTCACGAAGGAACTCAATGGTAGGTGGATAAGTGTGAGGAGAAAAACAGAGATGCCTCTTTCAGCTCCTCTATAACCCACAGGATGTGCAGAACTATAAAAAAGTGGGGAAAAAGAGAGGTGGAAAAGACATTTCTACAAGGATTGAAAGGATTCCTGGAAAGAAGAGGGGCAATTAACACACACATGGAAAAGCTCCTCAGTTAGGATGACATTACTAACTTCTTTTTTTGTCTTTGGTCACTAAAAGTATCTTTATAGGGAGCATTAAAAAAGAAAAGACCTGGAAAGAACATGTAGCTGTTCCCTCCGGCTTAGCACACTTGTTAATCTTACAGGTCTTGTTGAAGTGAAAAGACAAATACAAGAAAGAAAAGGTGATGGGAAGAACACACGCTTCATTACAAACCGGTACTTGACATTTTTCTTAGTTACAGAAAAGTTTTAGGACACTGGTGACTAATATAACTCCCTAATCCTTGGCGGGCTTCAGAAACCTTTGCCATAAGGTCAAGGTCAGGACAAGGTTAGTGCCTTAATAAAAGAGGGAATATGGCATCTTTAATGATTGCTTCTGGCTGTTTTCCTCCTTACCTACAATAATGCCACAGTGAATGTTTGCTTTCTTAAAGTGATGCAGAGCTCTTTGCTTTACCTGCTGACGGACCCTCATTGCCCACCCCGGGGCACAGCCAGCAACCTGGTGGATGGATGTTTCATGCTGAAGACCACAAATTTAGGGCGGTCTTCACAGGGAAGTTCAGTGAAGGTGGAAGAATCCTGTTAGCATGCAATTGCATAGTACCTTAGATAACCTACTATTTATTTTAATGTTACCCACATGAGGGAGGCTCCGCTAATGAATCTATTTTTGTAGTACCATAAAGGTTGAAGTTTAGAGCTAAGTTTAGAGCAGAGACATATAAAAAATGTCAAACCAGGAAATGGCTTAATGAAAGCAGAGTGTAATCACAGCAAATTACAGGGAAATTTCTGTGGGATTACATTTTGCATTCCCCAAACAAGCAGAGGAATTCATTTCACTTAGTGTTGTTCCATTTTGCTGACAATTCACTGTAAGATTATGCTATGTAAGTAACATAATGCGATGCCATAAAAGCTGTCTTAAAAGTTACAGTCTAAGATGCTTTTCAAAACGGAGTTCAGATTTCTTCCCACTGCAGTCTACGGAAAAATAGCAAGATATGCCACAAAATATCACAGAGAAAAAAAAAAATGATAATATTAGGAGGAATACAAGGCACATGTTTTATTTTGTAGCTACCAATAAAGAGGTCCCTTTCTAAACTCCAACTTTAGAAACCAACCAGCAGTGGATGTGGTAGGGAAGTTCACCCCAGGAGAAGAAAGCTGATATTCCTAGGGTGCTTCCAAGAATCACTGCAGAATTTAATCTCTCCCCACTAGTAAACCCAGGTTTGCATCTAGGACATGCCCTGTGGTCAGCACCTCACCTAGCTGCCTTGAACACCTCCTCTGAAACAGTATTATACAGTTTGCATATGTATGTACAGTGTATACACCTTCCTCTCCCACCCTGAAGGTTATCTTTCTTTCCCCCAGGCTTTACAGCCCACAGTCCAGTAACAAATACAAGCAATTTCACTTTGCTTTTTACCATATGTAGTGATTTTCTGTACTTTTCAGCAGGTCTCCAACATGAGAAGAAGCTGGGAACTTTTGACCTCACTCCGTTACTATTGCACAGCTCTGGATGGTTAGTTTAGTGGAAAAAACATGTTGACTTTTGGGTAACAATGTCACTGCAAATCTCTCAAGGCTAATTCCTGATGACAGCCACTGTAAATACACTGGAACGTGCACAGAGCCGTGGCTTGGCCCTATTAAAGGCAACTCAGCAGGACCTTGAACTGGTCCATAATGAGTAACATGAAATAAGATCTCAGTCCATAAGGAAAAAAAAAGACGAGAAAGAAGCATGTGAACAGGATACTGTGTATTAACTGTAAGGAGAGGAAATTCATAAATCAGAAGCATGCCATGCATCCGCTTAAAATGACCTGTGACTATTTTACAGGTAAGGTCTATATGATCTGCTACGGAGCAGTTACCCTTTCTGAGGAGAGGACTTTGCAACAGAAAAAGCCTCTTATATTCAGCTTTTCATAAGTTTATAGAAATGGATACAAAAGCGAAAACAAGATTAAAGACCCCATGGCTGTACAGTTTTAATACTGTTAAATTTTACTTGTCAATGCTTTGGTGTTTTAACCACAAATTATTCCCCCAAATTTTTACATTTTCTACAGCACTAAGCCACAGAGTTGTGCTGTCCTCCCCACTATGCAAGCTTGGGGGGAGGGACGGGAAAACACACAAAATCTGTCTGAAAGGTTTTGCAATCTTTGCCCTGCTACACGTTTTGCTAAAAATTAATGGTGTGCCTTCTTAAAGGACACTAGATAGAAATATGGCACCTGCACCTGTGGCTCCCATATTTTCATCTACAAAATCCCAGACAGAGTTAAAACATACAGTATTTTTTTCGGGGCAACTGCAGTCAGCTTTCTACACCTGTGCTGGATGCATAGGTTGAAAGGGCAATGTGTACATAGTGGCCATTTTTCCACGCACCCCGGCTGGAGAGGCAGAGATGCTCTGAACAGCCGCCCAGGCAATCTGGATGGGAGGTATTTCTAGGCACAATCCTAACACTGTTACCGTAGCAAATCCACAGTTAGCAGCTGGTACAGTGCCTAAAAAAAATTCTGAGACTACTGATTTAAAACCAGATCATCTTATACTGATACCATCCCTGTGCATTCATGGGTTGGCTTTCCACAGGTCAAGAGACCCCAAACTACTTTTGAACTGAAAACCAGCTTCCCCCTGTGGTATAAAATATTTTGAGACTCAAACTGTGCAAGACATGGGGTAAGAGTTGCAATTGCAAGCTCGGCCTTCTACGAAGATCTGCTCAGACGCAGGGTTACAATTAAAGAACAATCTCCCAGGCGCAGCAGGGACACCACCTTGTGCTCCAGACCATGCCCAGCTCCTGCGGCCAGGCACAGCGGAGGGGTGGACCATGGACCAAGTAACTGGTTACTTCCCAGGCTGGGAGTAGGAAGATGACATCTCATATACGTGAACAGGAGACGTAACAGCAGGGGAGCTCGAAGCTGGTGTCAGTGACTCATGTCCCGTGCCTAAACTTGACAGATCAAAAGACTTCTGATCTCCCAGGAAAGTCTTTGCTAATTGTTGTACAGAAGCAAAGACTCAGGGGACCTTCTAGCTTTTTGTTTGTTTGTTTGTTTGTTTTAAAGCACAAAAATTGGCACATTAAGAAAAGGAAGGTCTTCATGGAAAGCTAAATCAAAACCCAGAACCTCATTTAGCCTCTCCACTTCCAGACAAGGCTGAATTCAGGAACAGAGAGCAAGCAAGAATGAGAGAGCTTAGAAATGAAAATAAGAATGTTTTCATTACCTTTTCTGCAAGCCAGCCTAGATGCCTAATCTCTCGACTTCCAGCAATCCCTGTTTTACCCAGCTGGTCTCTGACCTCTGCAATCACCCTGGGGATGAGCTCATTGACACTGGAGTGGATGGCATTGAACCAGGCTTGGGCTGTAGCTGAATCCTTACTCCTGAGCACCACGGTGTGCTTGGCATCAGGTGAATGAACTTCAATAAGTCTAGAAAAACGGGGGGGAAAAACATTATGTTCACTCAGATACCGTTAGGCTGCTAAATTTATTATCTCGCCTAGTGTTAGCAATGAGTTGAAAAAAAGGATACTAATATCAACACCTAGCACTAAAAACTTACCTTTACAGCACTTGAATAGAGTAGGATCATCTTAACTGAAGCCAGGTCTGTACTGGCATCACGGTAAAATCCTTGAGAAGGGATTTGCCAGTGCTGATGCAACTCCACATCTAGCATGTCAATGGGACTTTCAAATATAAAGGCAAGAGGAGCATTTACCCATTAACATTCACTGACACAGCAACCACCAAGAACTGCACAGGAAATGACTGCAGAGAAGCCAGGGATAAGCTGCTGCCTTCTTTAGCTGGATATCATGGCACATCCAGAGTTTCTCAATGTGTTTATTTTACACATACAGAGCTAAATGAAAACCACCCTCATCCCAAATGGAGGAGTTTTCTCAGGATTGCACTGTGGTTTCAGTGACACAACTAAGCATCAACCAGAAGCCTAGTGTAATTGGCCTTCTCCAGGAGTTACCGATGTCCTCAATGCTCCATTTAGATCCTGCTAACAGCGGCAGCAAGTAAGTGCTAACCGCAACCGTATGATTGCTGCTGGCAGGCATCTCTTACAGTTTTCCAAACTCCTGTGGAGAGAGATGGGTTTTTCCCCAAAAACATGCTTACTAGACCATCCTGCGGGCTTCCACCCCACCACTGTGGTTTGAAAAGCACAGGCAAACACAGCTTCCAGGAAAATGAATCCTGTCCATCGTGGTTATGGGACCTGTGCCAACACCTTTGCTAACAACAACAACAAAAATGCTTTGAGAGGCAGCTGCAGCTATTTCAGCTCTGCTCTTGGTGAAGTTACTAGTTATTAGTGGGGCTTTGTGTGCTCTTTATAGCTTTGTGGGCCACTTTTACTCGAACATTTGTTAAATAACCCATTAAGTAATAGTATGGTTTATCTTTATGTAGTGACTATAAAACCAAGCCCTGGTCATTGCCCATCACTCAACTCCGTATCACATTTGTGCTTTTTCATTATACACATACAGTGACTGCCCCTGAATGTTACCCACACAAATTCGACCTGGAATCTGAGCCTAAGCACCTACTTCTGTCCCGTGTATTGCTGCCCGATCTCTGGGACACACAACGACTCCTTTCTGTAGCAGAAAAGTAATTAGTTCAGTGGAATTTATTCAGGTTGAGGTTCAAGACAGTACTGTAATGTAAATATTTGTTATGCAATTACAAAATCCTGCAATTTGAAGCTTAATGAACAATTAAGAGGTTTTAATTAATTAGTTAAACCAGATCAGAATCCAGAACAGAGGGCAACTCAATCTGTGCAGCTTTCTGGGGCTGGAAGAGCGAGGACCGCTGGTCTCGTGCTTCTCCATTTTGGGAAGGGGAGGTCTCCACGTAGACACTGCTCTAAAGATAGAACAGGTCATGATTTTCCAAACTCAGCAGCTGAACTGTTCAGGGTCCTAAATCACTGTTTGGATAGCTTAAAAAGTGGGTTGATTTTTCAGAAAGCGCTGAACCAACACAATAACGCATGTTTCCTCGGTAAAGCTGCTGGAGGTCAGCACTGTATGAAAATAAAGGCTCTTATTTAGCTGCTCCAGGATGCACTGAGGATTCACCCTCAAGTACCAAAAGGAAAATTCTTTGTCAGATGATCCAGGTCTGGTGAGTAAGAAAACTATGTCTGTAGATAGGCACGATCCCAATCACACTCTGATTTTTTCTGAACTGCCAGAAAAAGCTGTCTCCCCAATGGTTATGATTTAGACATCTGTGTCCGATGATCATTACGATCATGCACAGCTACCACACCCTGGTCTGTCCTTCCATCAGAAACACTGCTCTCCCACTGCTGTATGAACTTGAGTTCTAACTCATTCTTGTTCGAATGGAAACAATGGAAACAAATGGAAACAAACTATACAGTCTTGGATTTTCAAAATACATTGTTGTAATCGGTGAAACATTGTTTATTACTTACAGAGCACTTTTTGGCACAAGATCTCACGGCATTTTACAAATAAGGTCAGTGGCAGCATCCCCGTTTCACCACCCAAGAAGTGGAAAGGTGCATAACCCAGATGAGGCAGGGAACAAGCCAGGAGCAGCACTCTATTTTCTGCACTGTAACTCCCGTTTTAATACTTTAAAGAGAAAAAAATATTTGGACAGCACAGCAGTATTGTGCTGTTTTTGAAAAATGTTAATGCACCATACGGATTGCGTGAAACAATGCTCTTTACAAAGCCTGTGGTTTCTATAAGGAAACTCCCACCTCCAAAGTCACTGTGTATCATGCGGTAAACGAAGCGCTGAACAAGGACTATAAAGACACAGAAGAATGTGCTGCTTTTTCAGTTGCAAAGGAACAGCAGCAAACTTGTGTCATTTCTTTTTAAGTTAGAGTTGTAGCAGGCTTTGTTTAAAAACAAATTATCTAGAATTGAAAAAGCTTCCAAATGGCAATGCGTTTCCCTCTAATTTAGAATACACTTAAATGCTTACTTAAAGCAAGTGGATTAACATACAAACAAGCATTTTGCTACTTGGGCCTTCATCAAAGTGTATTTCCCTTGATGGTGGCTATTTAAGTATTTCTACAAGAGTTCTGTCCCCTAAAATAATGAACACTTAGTTAGCTCTTAACAATTCTGTTTCTAAACTATGCATATTCTAATATATACACATTCTACTGTGATATCAATGTATATATTCTAGTATACATATGCACACACACACACACTGAGCCATGCTTGCAAAAATGCTCTTAAAATATCATCCCTCAGTGACTTCTAATGGGGCTATTTTGGGGACTGCTTGTCAGTCATCAAAGTTTGATGGTGATGCACTAACAACTGCAGAAAGTCTACTTCGTTCCCTGAGCTGAGTGACAGGAAGATTGGACAATATTGCTACACTTCTCAAAAGTGAGTTCAAAACGAGAATAAATGCTACATTGACAGCCCTGAAACTGAATCCTTTTATCCACCACGCTGGTCCAGCCTTCAAGCATCGTTCCTGTGCAAGCTGCTAGGTAGGGTACTTTTTATTCATACCAAAAGGACAAAAGTCTAAATCTTCAACTGCCTGAACTTTGCTACTGGCTATTTGCTATAAGATCTGGGCACTAAATTATCTTTAAGAAACCGGGCTTAAAGATTTCTGCTCAAGATCCAGGACTCCCATCTCTGCAGCCAGTTGGGATGGAGATACTAACAGAAACTTATAATCTTCCCGGAAACCCACAGGCTCTGACTGCAATCAGATGCAGAAAGCGCTCCATCCCTATAAACTCCTCTTTTCTGTCTTTCAGCCTACGCTGCTTTGATTCACCAGTCAATTTGGATGATGCTTTTTGTGTAACAGCTGACTGATCGCATTTCTATATTTTTTGAAAAGCAAAAGAATACCAGTGACCTTAGTAAACTCCAACACTAAAACACTTAAACGTTTCCAGCAGTCCAGCCATTGTAGCTTTGATTTGTTCCTTGGCTAAACTGACCACCGCTTACTGACTTTTGCTTATCTGCAGTTCAGTGATAAAGTTCCCTTAATTCCCCACTGAATTGAAATATTTAGGGCAATGCCACAGCTGTGTTTATTCTCACACTCCACCACAGTTATGTAAATACTGCATATGGAGCTGTTTCTGATAAAGCCCACACCAACCCAAAGGAATTATATGTTAGCTCTAGATGGCTGCCAAGATGCGCGGCATCTCTCCAGCTTGGCAATGCATATGAATGATATCACATTTTCTCAGAGATCATTTGGCAAACCTTGTAATAAAAGAGTAATTTTCTCTCTCCTTCTCAAAGAGTCCCACTGAGCCAAGGAGTGTTTCCAGCATCCCCTTCTCCACTCACAGAACATTGGGGTGACACAAAACCTGGCGCCTCCAAATGCCATAACCTTGCACGTAACAGGCCAAACCTCCCTCCCTCGCTGCATCATCCAGAGCTTTCACTTTACAGAGGATCAGAAGAAGGTGAAAGCAATTGTTTGATAGACCATACTCATTCCACATTTGATATGGCTTCTTTCTGTAGGAGTGTTCATTATCTAAGAAATACCTTTTATCAAATCTCTTGAAAGCACTTCTCCCACCAGCATTGGCTCAGGACCAAATCAGGCACTGATTTACACTTTGTGCCTTTTCCCGGGTCAGATTATGTATTCAGTGACTGATTAAAGTGTGGAGTAAATCCCTTGAAGTTAATGATAAGCTGGAGCCAGAGTTATTCGAGTCCATTACGCTACTTTGATTTTGCACTGGCATAGCCAGGAACAAAACACTCTGCCACTGACTCTGCAAAATTAAAAAGGGATCGAGGGCCAAACTGCTCACTCCATCTCCTCCATCACTGTATGCACATGAAACCATGGTAAGTAATTTTGTTGATTTCTGAGAGTACAAACACAGGAGGCTTTCCAGTATAAGGGGGGATTTAGAGGAACACAATCAGAGATTATATTTAAATAGTTGTAGGTTTTGTTATGTAAAAAACCCTGTTAAGGTTCTTTTTCAATTCTACATGCAGCATCAGGAGATGAACCAGGAATAAAATACATTAAAATTAAGCATGGAAACTTTGGGTTTAGTCTGCAAGGAAAATATTCCATAGAGACACTGTTAGGCTTGCAACAAATTCCCCAGCATACACTGAAGAAGCATCTTCATTTGATGCACCTAAATGGAGGTGAAAGCAATTTTACCAAGGGAGTGTTATTTGTTAATCAAGTGGAATTTTTCAATGTGAAAGTCTCTTGGTCCCCTCGCCATCACAAGGGTACCCGGTCTATTAACAGTTACTTGCTGACTTTCAACTTACAGTGGTAAAAATGATGTAGTTACTTGTTTCTTGGGAGCTGGACTGGACTGATGTCCAAAGAGAGGGTGTCTATATCACTAATGAGCTGTCACAGTTGAATTCTTTACTATT